CTACAAAATATGAAAGTATCAATAGACACTCTAAAAAGCTTACAATGAAAGTAAATTGAAGCCATTTGTAAAAAAAAAAAAAAGTAAAAAACCTCCAAGAGGGACAGACAACTAGAAGAAAGACCAGGCATACGAATTACAATATAAGGGTCATAAGAAAATTGATTCAGTAGTTAGAACCCTTAATCTATATGCACAATGATTCCTACCAAATTGGTGTACTTATGAGTGACATGATCCTTCAACACTCACTCTTAAACTAAATGGTATAAATATACAATTTCAAGCTTGCTTATGATATTTTTTAGCGTAGGGTTATAGAGTCCTTTGGTGCAATGCCTATAAATTGATTTTTTATTGGAACATACGAAGTGGAAATAAACCCACTTTCCAATTTCTTTTACGAAATGTCTACCCAGCTCCATGTACTTGGTACACTAATATTATGAGCGATGCTAATGTTAATGACAAATTGATTGTCACATTATATCTTTATTAGTCATTCCCATTTAATTTTTAAATCTTTCAAAATATTTTTATCACAGAAGCTAATAGATTCTTTAAGCAATGGCTCTAAATTCAGATTGAATGCTATATCTTAAAACAAAGGGGTTGTTTCTAACTCATCCATGCTATGAGATATTCTACCAAATATATACAATATCTAGACGTGGATCTTCTATTTGCTGGTGATCCTATATAATCTGCATCAATATACCCTTTAACTTGGTAAGTATCTTGCTTTTTGTAAATAATTCTTTTACCATAAATTAATTCATGCACAAATTCAAATGTGATGCCTAGATGCATGTGAGATATATCATTTTTCCTATCAATCTTTAGTACTTTTTCTTCTTCATCTATGTCTATTTTTTTATGAGAAAATTTTAGAAAGGAGCAGGTTTAAAACATCATTATGTAAAAGGAGCATGATTAACAGAAAATTAAAAAAAATAGCAAATTCGCTAAAAAATTTAGCATAGTTTGAATATGCCAAATGATTTGACTAATTCTGAATTTGTCAAATCATTTGTCGTATTCACCTAAAGCAGGTGAGAGAAATGGTATGAGAGAGAAATGAGGAGAGAGATGGGGAGAGAAGGCAAATTGGGAGAGAGAAAGAGAAAATTGAGGAGAGAGAGTGTGAAGGGAGAGATAGATGGGCAGAGAGAAAGAGAGATGCGGAAAGAGAGATTTAAGTAATTTTTTTATATTCAAAATAATTTTAACTAATATTTATAATTAATATTTATATAATATAAAATAAAATAATCTTTAAAATATTATAGAAAAAAGTAAAAAAACCTCATCTTTCTCTCTCCCCATCTGTCTCCCCCTCCGCACTCTCTCCTCATTTTTCTCTTTCTTTCTCCCAATTTGTCTTCTCTCCCCATCTCTCTCCTCATTTCTCTCACCTACCATTTCTCTCACCTGCTTTAGGTGAATACACCAAATGATTTGGCGCATTTAGAATTAGCCAAATTATTTGGCGTATTCAGACTACACCAAAAAAATTGACGAATTTGCTCTTTTTTTTAATTTTTTTGCTAATCATGCTCCTTTTACATAATGACATTTTAAACCAGATCCTTTCTAAAATTTGCTCATTTTTTATTTGGTTAAATTGGAGTTTCACAATATTTATAATAAACCATTTTTATTTCTTTTAATAAATTTATGACATTTTTACCTAGAAAAGAATATTCTTTCTTCTAAAACAATGACTTCTATTCTCAAAAAAATAAATAAATAAATGACTTATATTCTCAATAAATATTTGAATTTTTTCAACTCTTCGATCTCAAATTCTTCAATAAACATTTTTTTGAGAGACTCATTTTCTCTAGTGTCATTACATATGATAATTATATCGTCTACATATACGATGAGAATTAATATTTTCATCAATAGAATGTTTTACAAAAAGGGTATAACCTCTGATTGGACAAGCGCTGCTAACGTTACTGGCATTTATGATAAAAGCTACAACATCCAGGAGAGATCTAAAGGCAAAGAAAAAGAATCTTCATCTAGGCATGACATTGTTGCTATTGAGAATGAGTGTGAAATAGAAGAAATGCTAATGAAGTTAACAAAGCTTTTTTGAAATTTACTGATGATGATGATTTCCAAGAAGGTAGATTAAATTCTTATTAAATCATTATCTTTTGAAAAAAAAGATTGTAATATTTTTAAATATGAGATATTTGAGGTGTTGTTTACTTGAGCTTATGCATAACTGTATGACTATGATTATATTTATGTCTTTCATTATTATGATAGCTTGTATTTCAGTTTAAATATATTTCATATGCATGCTTAGTTATTATTATTATTGTATAGTTTGCACAATATTCAAAATGGTGTGTGTCGTTCCGTGCGCTATGCGCCATGGCTCAAAAGGGACCTTTGCGTTATGGTGCGCCATACATAATTAACAAGTATGTTGATCAATATTACTTAATAACAATTCCAAATCTTGAGTTTCCTCGAAATTTTGGCTAGGCTTATTCCTTCTTATAAAAGCTTAAAGGGGTGCAATATATAAAATTTAATATAGTTTACATTATAAGAATGTTTAGATGTAGTTAGAGGTTTAAACAAACTTATCGTATAGTTCAAAGTTCTTCCCTTGAAGATGATTTTCATTGAAAAACTTCACTTTTCATCAAAGATGACACTTTTTAAAGTAAAAAAGTTTTTTTTTAATGGTGATCTTAATAACACTTATAGCATTTTCTTTTTAGTAGAGGAATACCCAATAAAGGCATATTTGAGAGCTCTAGGATTAAGTTTATGCTTATGTTGTTTCAACAATTGCCGCCCCCCCCCCCCCCCCCCCCCCCCCCCCCCCCGCGCATCTCATTGTTTGCTCCATCTATCATAGCCAACCTTTTTTCATGCGAGAAAGAACAAGCGGTGTGCAAGTATTTGCATCGTCTTGGATATGAATTGGCAAGCAGTTGGAGATTTTTCTAAGGTTAGGTTATCAATGTTTTTTTGGTCTTTTTGCATGGTTTTTTTCTTGCAAGTGAGTTCGAATTGCATGGATTGAATGCTACATTGTGGGATTTTGAGTAGCTACAGAATCATACAAGTTATCGATAGATTCTGTAAAAATGTGTGGTTGTTACTAAAATCCATAGAAGAAGCTTGGGGATTTAGGTTGTGCCTTTTGCGATTGCTGAAAGAAGTTAGATTGGTTTTCCATTTTAATTTCATGAAGTATTTTGGCTGGTGAATCTCGGAAATTTATGTTTTATAAGTTTACTTTGGAAGTTGTGAGCAAGCTTTTTGGATTTGATTCAGATTTGGAAAGAAATTTCAAAAGTGGTTCAGCATTCGTAATTTGTTCTTGGATCCTAGAGTTTGATTTCTTGGGTGGCAGTATAGTTTTTCATTGCTAGGTGGAGCTTAATGCGCGAAGTATATATGATCTTTCTTACTGCTCAGGGTGGGTGATGGAAAGTGTTAATGTGATCTTACTAAGATAACTGCAGAAAAATGTTAACGGCTTCAATAGTTGATCCATTTATGTATCATGTAATTTTTAAAACTAGGTGTTGTAGCACTATCATAAGTTCTAGACTTTTGCTGATAGGTAACTATAACTAATGGAGATTCGTTGTGCCATGCTTGATAACAATAAATATGAGTAATTAGGTAATGTCAATTATATTGTGTGAGATGGATTTGGCCTGTAGCTATACATATCAACTTAAATGAGATGTTTGACATCTCACAATTGTTGATTTATCTGTTGATTGCATTCTAGTTATCTGACTTTTAATCTTATAAGCTGGTATATAGCTAAAGAGTTATTATCTATTGTGGGTTCTGGTATCTGTTATCCCAACCCAATGAATTCAATAATATCGTGTGCCAATTGCATTGTATCAGTCATTTGTCAGTGCCCAAATCCTGATTTTTATCATTCATGAATGTTGACTCCTTAGAAGAGAAGTCAAGCCAACCATAGTGGAGAAAAGGAAGAATCTCAACAAAAAAGGAGGAAGAAAAAAAAAACAAAGGTTGAAAGACAAAAACCCTAATCTTAAACTAACGCCATGCAAAAAAATAGAAGTAGAAAAACTATTTCGATTTTTATTGCTTAATTCCATATAAAGTGTGGAACTATTTACAGACTTCTCCAAAGAGCTTACAATAAAAAATAAATCAAAGCAATTAACACAAAAGGAAAAAGAAGTTCCCAGGAGGAGCAAACGGATTGCAATCTAAAGGTCATAAAAGAATTAATCAAACACCGAGAACTCTTAATCAATGGAGATTACTAATTTCTTCAAGACTAGTAACCCATAAAAAATGCAAACAAATAGGAGCTTCCAACCATCTATTTACCTCTAACTAAGATTCAAATAAAATGTATCAGAGTAAATTGATGCTAAGGCCATGATTCCATCAACTCATACATGTAATCAGCCCAACTACACTGCATTTGACCATGCTAATGGATTCAAGACAACATAAAGTCAGTCAATATGATGAACCACAAACAATTTTAATTAACAGTGGTGAAATTAATTGAAACAATACTCAATAATTTAAACACTTATACCAAATAAATACACATCTAAAACCACTTGAAATTCCCATGGAAGGCTATTTCAAGTAAAATTAATAAAATTTTATGTCATATGATATGATATCCATGGGTAATGTTGATATGATATCCATGGATAATAACAAGGATAGCAAACACTCGGGAAAGTAAAACATTAGTAAGTATGTTGGTTTAACTAAAGAGAAAGCTAAAAAGAGAATTACAAATTGCCTTTTGTTTAAATTCCTGAATTAGTTAGCTATCATCACATTCTATTCTAACGATGATAAAATTATTTCAGCATTCTTATAAAGCTTCATTCCAACAAATGATTCTGGAAAATATAGCATGCATACCTCAACAAAAAAAAAAAGCGCAGTAGTCAAAAGAAAGAGAAATTTTTCCAACTTCATTTAAATCAGAAACTGCAATAAATCACCTGTTTTGCAAGATTACATGCACGATCTGGAGAGTTGAGGATTTCATAATAGAAAACTGAGAAATTCAGCGCTAAACCCAGCCTAATTGGATGAGTTGGGGCCAGTTCTGCCAATGCGATATCCTGTAAATTGTCAAAATGCAGGCATGAAGCATTAGAAAGGATGCATTATAGAAAATTTAGTGAAATGACCTGTGGCCCATTGCTTAGAGAAGGTAATTTATCAAGCTTATAAATGTAAACCATATATTTAGAGATTTAACACTCAGCATTACAAAACAAATAAATGGACCTTCTTTACTATCCAAATATAGACTAGACTAAATTGGCAGAAAACGACCTCACCTGAGCAGATTTGTAAGCCAATAGTGTGCTCTCAGCAGCCTCCTTCCTCTCTGCTCCAGTTTTAAACTCAGCAAGGTACCTGTGAAATAAATTGCACGTGAATAAAATAGTGGCATGAAGCTTATTCATAAATTCCTAATTCCAAATTAGTAATTCCATAGAACCTGTGGTAATCACCCTTCATCTTTTGGTAAAAAACCTTTGATTCAGCAGCCGTAGCAGAGGGAATCAGATGAGAATCTAGCAGCTTCAAGATCCCATCACAGATTTTGCTGAGCTCCTCCTCAATCTTGCTACGATATTCCTTGATAATCGCCACACGATCCTCATTGCCGCGGCTCTCTTCTTTCTGCTCAATGGAAGATATTATCCTCCACGAGGCCCTTCTAGCGCCTATCACATTTTTATAGGCCACCGAGAGGAGGTTGCGCTCCTCCACAGACAGCTCATTCACACTTCCAGTCTTGGCCACCTTCTCCATGAACTCAACCATTTCCTCATATCGCTCAGCTTGCTCTGCAAGCTTGGCCAGATAAACATTATCCTCACGAGAATACTCCGCAGGAGACATCTTTACTTCTTCTTTAACTTATGAACCAGTAATCTCTTCAAGATCTGTCGAAAAATCGAGCTTTACATCAAAGAAAATATATTTTTAACTTTAAAAATTGCCAAAGAAAATTAACAAGGGTAGACAAAACAACTTCAAGAATCATTCAATCCTTTCATGCCAATATATGAGTTTCTCTTCAGCTTAAAAATCATTTCACTATATAACACAAATCCTTAACTAAATAAAGAAAACGTAGAGAATACATAACTTTCTAATATCTTAAAAAGTAAAACTGAAGAAAGAGGCGCAAAATTCAATTCGAATCATTGAAAAAAGAATACATCATAGCATTTCAATGTCTCTCACATGGGAAAAGAACTACACGAAGTAGCAGATTGGATTGAGGATAATGAACAATTAAAAATTAGGAATTCTGAAAGTAATTCAAGAATCGGAGAGAGCAAAATAATAATGAATAACTGAAATCACGGGACGCAAAACTAGAAAAATGGGTTTCTGTGGGCAAGATCCAATGTTCCGCGTTTAGTGTTAGATGATGGAAGGAAGATTAGAAGAAGATATAGGGAGACGACGAAGCCCTACCTTGGCCTCAACGATCACGATCTCCTTTCCTCTCCTGCAAAGAGTTTCTCGGGGTTGGGTCCAAGTTGGGGAAGAAGATAGGGCGGAGGCTGGAAGACAACAGCCTCCTGGTATAGGGCAAATTATTGGGTCAGCTGATCGGAGTCAAAAGATAAGTTCGGACAGCCAATAAAAATTTGCCGCGTCATCTTGCGCTTTAGTTGCGCTTTTTGACTTGCGCTTTAGTTGCGCTTTGGTTGCGCTTTTTTTTTTTGACATTTTTTAATTTTTTATAGTATCATTTATTAAAAAAAAACAAAAGATATAAAATATTATTTACCAAAAAAAGGGGAAAAAAAGTCAAGTCATTAGTTGCGCTAATGATTGTTTTTTTTTTGTCTTTTCAAGTTTTCTTTTTACGTTTTTTAAGTATAATATATATTTAAGTTGATAATCTTACTTATTTATAATATCATTTATTAAAAACAAATAGTTAAAAAAAAATGCAGAAACTGTTAAAATAATGCCAATTTGTTTTTCTTTTTAATTAAAAAAATTTAAAAACAAATAATTAAAAAAAGTTAAATAAATTAAAAAAAAACTGTAGAAAGTTTTTTTTTTCGTTTTTTATAAATACTATATGTTTAAGTTTATAATTTTACTTCTTTATAATATCATTTATTAAAAAAATTTAAAAAGAGAAAAAATAAATAGTTAAATTAAAATTTATTTTTTACAACTTTTTTATTTATAAATATATAATTTAATTAACATGTATATATATTTATAAAAATTAAAAAATCAACTCCATTTGCCAGATAATTAAAATTTCAACCTCTATTCAATGAAATTATTCTATCTAATAATTATTCAATTTACCTGATAACTTAGGGGATTTGAATTAAATTAATTTGTAAATCTCTTGCTACTTATTTCAAGGAACAATTATTACGTCCTCCGACCGGACGTAGAGGAACGTCCGGTCGGAGGTCAAATTGCGCCAAAAAACGAGAAATACCGAGAAAATACTGAGCAATACCAAACAATAACGAGGAATACCATCACGTGAAGACTCAATACCAAGTTATGCCGAGCTATACCGAGCAATACCGAGTTATACAAAAGTTGTACCGAGTTTTTCCTAGAAAAAATCGGTACAACTCGGTATAGCTCGGCATAACTCGGTATTGGTCTTCACAGAGCGGTATTCCTCGTTATTATCAAATAATACCTAGCAATACCGAGTTTTTTGGCAGGATTTTGCCTCAAACCGAACGTTCCTCTACGTCCTTACACCGGACCTAATAAAAGTTCTATTTCAAGTGACTCTCTAAACCCCGCAAGGCTGAAAAAAAAAAAAGAGGCCAAGCCAAGTTAGTAATTCGTCAACCTTTACATGGCAAGTTAATGACTTCTGATAAACTCAATTGACGACTTCTACAAATCGGATATTCTAATTAGGCTACATGATACTAATGTTTTTCTCGTTACTTTATATAGACAAGTATGCAGTCAATCACATAGCCCCTAAAAATGGATCATTTTGAGGACTTTTCTGTGTAAACAGAGAAATAGTTCTTTTATATAGTGAACACTAGTAATAAAATTCTAGAGCTTCTCTCTCATTGCTCAAGTTCCATATACTTATTTCTCTTTTATCTATTCTCACTATGTATGAATAAGCTTCAATAAGGTATTATTCGTATATAGGGTTACCTGAGAAGAAGGACATAATGTGGTAACCCTATCTAAGAGAAAAGATATGAAGTGATAACCCCATTTGAGCTAAATATAAGGTGTCGGGTGATAACATAGCTAAAAATACAAGGCTTATGGGGTGATATATGTACATTAAAATATATAACCCTTATTATCTTTGTTGCATCTTGGAATATTTGTGGTGGTAGAGGAATATAAATTTCAATGTCTTAGCATTATACAAAGATCCAGCGTGCAATCAGATAAGAAAGATGGTCGGAAGAATCATAGTCGGTAGGAGACAATGGTCAGAAAGACCGTTGTCTGGCAATGGAGATCGAAAGGACCGTAGTAGGCGATAGAGATCGAAAGGACCATAGTCGACAGGCGACAGAGGTCAGAAAGACTATTGTCTGATGATGGTGATCGGAAGGACAATAGTAGACGATGGAGGTCGGAAGGACCGTAGTTGGCAGGAGATAAGTGTCAGAAAGACTATTGCCTTAAGGCAGTGGTCCGATATAAATCCGAGTGTCAGGTGGTGGTACGGCGGAACACCAGCATTAGGTGGTGGTTCGACAAAACTCCAGACATCAGGTGGTGGTTCGGTAGAACTCCTGGAGGAAGGTGGTGGTCTGGCAGAACTCCGGTGTTAGGTGGTGGTTTAGTGGAACTCTAGGCATTAGGTGGTGGTCTGGTAGAACTTCGGGCGTCATGTGGTTGTTCAGCAGAACTCCAGGCATCATGTGGTGGTCTGGCGAAACTCCGGGCGTTAGGTGGGGGTCCGACGGAACTCCGACATCAGGTTGTGGTCCAATAGAACTCCAAGCGTCAGGTGGCGGTCCAACGGAACTCTGAGCATTAGATGGTGGTTCGGCGGAACACCGGCGTTAGGTGTTGGTCAGACGGAACTTTGGGTGTCACATGGTGGTCTGACGGAATTCAGAGTGTCAGGTGGTGGTCCGGGGAAACTCCGGGCTTTGGGTGGTGGTCCAAAGGAGTACGGGTGTCATGGAGTGGTCCGCTAAACTCTGGGAGATGGTCGAGGAGGAGCGAGGAGGCAAAAGCGATCTTCGATCTCTTTCTTGCTCTCTTTCTTAGGGCCCTTTTCAAGAGGAAGGATAGGTTCCTAGAGTGGCATGGCCCGTAAATAGGAGGAAGATTAATAGTAAATGGGGAGTGGTTTGGATGGACGGCCAATGTTGAATCACTTGATCGTGGATCGTTCGTTAGACATTTGAAGGTTTTGATGATGTTGGAATTCTATAATATTGGGCTAGTTGGATTCATCTCATCGTGCCGCTCAATTTGATTATATGTGCATCATGTTTGGAAACAGCTTGATAATCAAAATTGTGGCTTAAACCTTCCAATGACACTTCAGGTCGTTGATTTAGACTCATTTGGGTTCGGATTGAGTCAAATTTGATCTCATTGGTTCATATTATTAAGATGTTAAGTTCAACTGTAAGTTTGGCGAAATCGGAGTTCGAACGGTCCCAATTTTAATTTTGGAAGTTTCCAACTTGATTTGCCTCGAGATTAATGCCCGATCAAGATAATTTTTTTATGATGTATCAACCTTTAAATAAAAACACCCACAAAACATAGCTATGTAACCCATTGGAAGCACAAACATTTTTTTTTTCTCACTGAAAGCACAAACAAACTTCAAGTCCAAAAATATTTTGGTTATATTTAATTTTTTGCATAGATATTTGAGTTCACTTTGAAATCCAAAACATACATGAAAATTTAAAGCATTAGAACATATAGCCCTTGCTTGATGCACTACAAGAAAAAACTCATATTTCTAGGGGCCAAAATTTGCCGGAAATGAATGTTATCCACTGAAAACATTAACCTTCCGATAAATTTCTGACTAAAAAATTCACGTTAGAAATATGTTTTTGATCGAAATGAGTCCATCAAAATTATTTCCAGCAGAAATGTATTCTTAGAAATGACATTTCCAGGTTATTATTTCCAACGGGTTTTCAGTCAGCATTTCCAGTGGCATATATCCATCGGAATTACCAAAAGTCCAGCTGCTAGTTATTTTCACCAAGCTAATTGGTGGACTTTAACGACGGTTTTGCCTCCATCATAATTTTTGGTGGAACTATTTCACCGAAAGCAATATAGCAATTCGTTGTATCGACGTTTCTAGTGGATAATCCACCAGAAATATGCCAAGAACATGTACTATAAAAAAAACCATTTCTCTCAATTATTCTACAACACAATAATCATGCAAAACATAGATATATCATCCTCACATTTCAACATTGAACATCAACACTAATGTTATATGTAATAAGATATTTGAACACAAAAAAATATTATGCAATTGCTAAATAATTCTAAAATAAACATCAAATTTGTTACACAATAAAAATCTATCATAAAATGTATAAACATATAGTAATAAAATGTCCAATAATAATAAAAAGTTTAATTATAATTTGTTTCGTCATTCTCCTTCTATGTCGATACTAGTTACTTTCCACTGAATTGGTCCCTTAGTCTTATTTGATTGAAAAATATTTTTTGAAAAGTATTAATTTTTTTTTTAGAAAGATTAATTTCTAGAATTTTAGTTTTGAAATCAAACACGTCATTATGAATAGTATATTGCCTCAGGAGGAGAATATATCATACCCTAACGGGTTCAAATTTCAAAACTTTAAATTCATCCTGATTATCGTAGTCAAACTTATGAAAGAATCACATATGATCCCGGAAGGTCAAAATGAAATTTGATCCAGTGTTTGACGACGTTAATCTTAATAAAGGGATCATTAATTTTATAATCAAAATTATGATAATACAATGATATATCTTTCCGAAAAAGAATATATCATTTATTATCAATCATTTGAGAATGTTGATAATGATCATTATATTTGTTGATTTCGTATAGGTTGTTAAACCTAAGCTATTGTCCCAAGGCTAACCAAGAGGGGGGTGAATTGGTAATTTAAATTTATTTTTTAGATTTTTAAATAGAAAATCATTTTGAATCTTGTAGCAAGTTAATTTAAGTTTCAAAATAAACTTTTAGCCACAGTAAATAACTTGCAATAAATAAATGCATAAATTAAAAGAAATAAAGATTTATAATGGTTCGGTCAAACACGACATACATCCACTCATTGAAGACTTCTTCTTCAAGTATTGTAATATTACCAAAATGACTCTCCTTTTGCCTCCAGTGCAAGGCGGGAAAGCCTTTATAAAACTCTCTTCCACAAATCTCCTGTGCGACAGAGAATCGTTGTCCTTTCACACCCTCCAAGTGTTGACAGAGTCCTGATCTTCTTTAAAGATCTTCGTACGAGCAACTAAAAAGAAAAAAAGAAGAGTGGTCACCAAAAACACAAAGAGATCCTAACCTTTGAGTAACCTTATGAACCCTTCAGACTCCACTTGCAAGAAATCTCTCTCAAACACTCTCCCATACTCTAT